AAAAGGCGGAAAAAAAAAAAAAAAACAGCGGAATTTGGTTCCGCAGACATCTCACTGTTCATATCAAATTTCTTGCTGTAATTGACCAGATTACGTAAAATTGAAAATTTTAAATCATACTAGACACAATAAAGATTAAAAACCCTAATTATTGAACTCATTATGTTCAAAATATGCCGTGAAATAAATCAAATGGTGGAAAAAAAAAAAAACCCAAAGTTCTTACCTGTTTTTGTGAACCGAAGCCTTCAATCTCCAAAAAACTCTGTTTTTCTCAACGATTATCACAAATTAGTAACAAAAGGTTTTGATTCACAGCTTTAAGATCAAAATGCCTACAAATTTTAAAAGATTCATGCCCTATTTTGCATGAAATTTCAGAAAAGGCGGAAACCCTAAACCCCGAATTTTTCGTGATCCAAAAACAACCAATTTTTCCACCATTTAATCCTTCAAAAATCTGAATAAAGCTGTTTACAGCATGCAAATCAGATCACATGCCAAAAAAAACAAGAAAAATGATCAAAAAATGACAAATTTCAAAGAATCCCGTGAAGAACACTGTGCAACCCGTGTTCTTCACGGACTCGCCGATTCCGCACAGTGAATCGGTGAGTCACTGTGCGGAATCGTCCGGTTCTCTCTAGAACCGGACGATTTCCGATTTTCAAACCGATCCGGTCCATTTTCGTGAATTCCGAGTCTCGGCGATTTTTAAAACGCTGGTTAAAACCCCATGTCAACTAAAGAACGTGGCAAAGGTAAGGAAAAGCTTAAACCAAAAGCTTTTGAAAATAGTGATGGTCCCTAAGGACCATCATACTCATGTGGACCATCTTTTATTAAAAGTTTTTTTTCTCTCTTCTTTTTTTTTTTCTTTTTTTTTTTAAAAAAAAATTTTAGGATTATTACATATTGGATCTTGAAATGAAAAATAAAAAATATTAGCAATGAATTGAGGTATTTTTTAGCAAAAAATACATGAAAGGTCGGTCCACCCACGTTTTTCTTAATTTTTTCTAAATTATCCCTTGGTCTAAAGATTCTCTCCTTAGATCAATTTTTATTTTTTATTTTTTTAGTTTTTTGTTAGTAAGGCTCACCTGGATCAGTCTAGAGAGTGGTTCGAGGCCCCCATCCACATACTTCTTTTTTCTTCCACAAAAAAGAAATAAAGAGCGGTCTAAAGATAGGGACCTTGAACTACTTTAGAACTAAGCCTAGAGCCCTAATAGCAAAGAAAATAAAAATTAAAAAAAAAAATCATGGATATGATCCTCATATGGAGTGACAATTTTGGAAAAATAAAAAAATGTGAGTTGACAAACCTTCCTTGTAATTTTCACCCAAAATTGACCCATTTGTATTTGGGTGGCTAAATTTATTTTATTAACCAAACTCAAAGTTCAAAGAAATTTTTTTGAACTTTATGACACACACACACACACACACACACACACACACACACACACACACACACACACACACACACACACACACACACACAACACACTAGACGTACACACCGACACACAC